CTTTTCTTTATGCCTCACAAAACCCGCATAGAGAGAGATTTGCTTCTGCTCTCCAGGTACAACAGGACTCCCTATCTGCTGGGATAGGTTCCAAGCTCCCAAACGGATACCTGAAACCACGGAAAACAGCAAACACTAAATGCTGTACATATACATTTCTTTTTTCACAATGTCATGGACAGAAGATATGGTCTTACCATAAACCCTAGCAGCCTCAGCATATGATTATTTGTTTTTCAGTATTCTCACTTAAAGGAAGCACTTTACAACTGGCACTCTATGGCCCTTTACGACTTCTCAGACCAAAGTCAACTGCAGTTAAGCAACAATGCAGTAACTGAACCAGGAGATATGAGGGTCTTGCTATACAATCTTTCCAGATCTTTTCTTTCTCTTTTGGGCTTGCAGTCTCAGTATTGATAGGGATGAAAGGATGATTGGAACCAGGAAGTAGGAAGAGCCAGTGTGGCGTAGTGGTGAAGAGGATGGGACTGGGACTCAGATGATCTGGGTTCGAGTCCCCGCTCAGCCATGGAGCCAACTGGGTGACTTTGGGCCAGTCACGGACTCTCAGCCCAGCCTACCTCACAGGGTTGTTGTTGTGGGGATAAGATGGAGGAGGAGATATAAGCTGCCTTGAGCCCTTTGTTGGAAAAAGGCAGGATATAAATCAAAAAATAAAAAAAAGAAAAAAGAAAAGGTAACAAAGAAAATTCATTAACCTAAAGGGTGGGGGCTGAGATCAGCTAGCACAGAGTGTGAGGAAAGGCTGAGATCAGATAGCACAGAGTGTGAGGAAATTGGCAGGTAGACAAGATAGCAGAAAACTTGCTCAATGAATGACCTCATGACTATTAACAAACACACCCTGCATAGGAAATAAGCTCATTATAATTCACCTGGGAGGGACCAAGTGGGAGGGAAGAACTGGCGCAAGGTAGGCCAGCGGTTAGCAGCCCATGGCTCCGGAACCACATGTGGCTCTTTCATCCCTCTGCTGCGGTTCCCTGTTGCTCAAAATATGCGTTACAACCGCCAATGTGCGACACCCGCCGGCACGCGATTTATTGAGCTTTTCAACTCCCGGTAGGCCAACCATGGATAAATCCAAGAAAACAGTTTCAGAAGAAAACAGAACATTTAATGGTACGTGGGCAGATTCATTTGCTTTCACTGCTGATGAGACTGGTTTACCAGTATGCTTAATATGTGGTGAGAAATTGGCAAACAACAAAAAGTTGAATGTTGCAAGACATTTCCAGAATAAACACCTTTGCTGAAAAATATCCGGATGGAGATGAGAGATAAAAAGCCATTTCGAAACTGATGTGGAAGGTTGATCTGAGCAAAAATCATAATTTAAGCTTGGGTTTTTATTTCATAAATACAAGGAGGACTCAAATAGACATTGAGTATTTTATTTTACAGTAACCTTCAACCCATCATCTTTTTTTCGGAGTTCAAAATGTTTTTGTTGCATGCAGAAATAAAAAAATTGTTTTCTCTGTAGCAGTTCATTGATTTCATAAATGCAACACACTATAGTTTTTTTATACATAGCATAAAGGTAAAAAATGATATATGCTGTATTACCTTCATTTTAGATGTCAAAAGGGTTTTGTGGCTCCTGGTGTTTTCTTTTCTGTGGGAAACGGGTCCAAATGGCTCTTTGAGTGTTTAAGGTTGCCGCCTCCTGGGATGGGCAGGTGGAAAAGATCTGTAACCTCCCAGTACCCTGGCCAATGCGGGGAAAAGAGGGAAGAAGCGGCCATAAATGAGATCTGAACATGTGCTGAGTTGAGCTGGAAGAAGGGAAGGAAGCCAATCTGGCTCCCTTTGTTGCAACAAAGTTTAAAAAAGAACTCTCTGCATGCTCAGAGTATTTTTCTCTTCTGAAGGAAAGGAAAGAATGTTTCTAACAGTATCACACAATCCCGTGTGTCCTTTTAAGTTTATCTAGGATTGCGATGCCAAGTAACAGGCTCTTTCTCCCTTTTTATACATGGCTGTGAGTTTGTTGGTCTTGATTACCAGGAATAGGTCTATGGATATACGTTTTCCTACAGTGTCACTTGATTAGTGGACAGCTCTGGTTGTCTATTTGTAAAGAAACTAGTAGAAGAAATCGGGAAGGATAACAGTATTTAAAGCATTTGGGCAATGGCCATGGGCAATTCAGTGATGTTGTTATTGTGAGGCAGCCCACCTGGAACCATAATGTCCTTTAATTGCTCTGAGTAGTTGCATCAACATTAGAGGTAGGAAAAGCTTGAGCAAAAGATGCAAATTACATGTTTTGGCAAGTGCTCTTTCCTTTTAAATAGCCACTGCTTTTAGCATCAAATCTTGTGTTGTTTAGAGCAGAATAACAAAGGCCAGGATGCTGCATTATCTGTCAGAAGACTTATTCATTGTAACACCTGATTCTTTCAGCCAGTGGGGTTGAGATAATGGCCCTTATCATGCAACAGAGAGACAGTCCAAGTGACTCAGACATGCTTGTGCTACTTTGTATACTGACAGAAAATAGTTGCGTTACACAGTTACAGGGGGAAATGGAGGACAACTTGCTGCATACATACATTGTCAGCCTGATCCTGAAATATAACCTCTGGCACTGCTAGACAATCAGAGCATGTCAAGGGTTATGTTTTGGAACTGCACACCCATGATAATGAGCTGCAGGTGAACAGGAGCTTTGAAAGGCAAGATAATCAGTGTGCTACCACTAACACTGCTACTGTTGTGCTAGCAGAAATCTGTGCTTTACAACATTGCTCGCACTGGCTTGCACAGCAAGTTCCCTGGGAAACCTAGCAAGTGCTGTTGTGTGGCTTTGGCTTCCAGGAGGGCAACATCAGTAGTTCTGTGGGTAGCACCTTTCCCATGCGAATTGACTCAGGCTTTTGTTATACGTGCTTGTTGCCCTGATTGAAGCCACTGTAGCTGGTCTTTTTGCAACCCTCCACATCCAAGATCAATACTGTTCAACTGTTCTCCTCTAAGCTGACAACCTTGTCTCACATCACCAGCATGAAGAGAGATTTGCCTCTGCTCCCCAGGTGCAACCTTTCCAGATCCATCATGGAAAGGTCTGTTTGGGAACCTGTCAGAAAGATCTCAAGCTATTTCCTGGCTGCAGCTATGGCTGGTTGAAGGGAGCCCCCTGGCTAGAGGGCAGAATCCCACCTTCACTGGCTTACAAGGTCAAAACTGCAGAGATACACATACTTTCACTGGAAACCCAGGCCCTTAGACATGGATGTAATAATCATCTGTACTGGGATTCAAATTGGAAAGCTACAACCTCATTCAGGATCAAATCATTAAGTTCACAACCGCATAGATGAACTATTTCCTCATCACCATGTTAGGTCAGAAATCCATAAAGCAACTCACATCATACCCAGCATCAGCTCTACAATGCCACCCGCAGGTGTCTACAAATGGAATACTCAGACTAGGGTCTTGGCCAGATTTGCTAAGGCCAAGACAAAGGTGAAGTCAGGCATAAGTAAGAGTCCGATACCAGCTAGGCATGGCAGGGCCAAAAGCAAGGCAAGGAACAGACGTCAGGCGAAGATGCAGGACCCAAGGCAAGGCAAGGCAAAGCCAGGAATGGGCAGGAGTCAGAGCACAGATGAAGAAGCTGCAAGACTGGAGGCAGATCAGGAACACAAAGCAGCCACCGCAAAGACTTGTGCTGCTTGTGTAGCACCTCCTGTGGCTTCCAGCTGGGTTCTGTGGCTACAGCGGTTCCGTCCCTGATCCCCGTCCTGCAAGCACTTGGAGCATGAACCAAGTTGCCTGCTCTAACAAGCCACTGGGGAGGCCATGTCGCCTTGCAGATGCTGACACCTGGGAGCAATATAGTGACCATGTAGGGGGATCTTACCCTAGCCCCCAAGTAAGGCAGCTGCAAACTGCTGCCTAGTTTCAGAAAGCCTAGACCGTCAAGTAATGATATGGATGCTGCAAGTCACAGCTGCATGCTTGCTTGGAGGGCAAGGCTACTCACTACAGAATGCTGCAAATCAAAAGCAATTCACCACTGTGAGGAGACTGCAGCTTCAGGTTCCCCATGACCTGAGATTCTGTAATGGAGGCTGCCAGTTTTGCCAGGGAAGTTCCTAGATGGACAGAAGTTGTTGTTGATGTTGTTGGGTCAAGTTGGGGTGGTAACACTTTGAGAAGTCCCTTCTTTGTTCTTTCCTTCCATTTTCTGTATTTCATCTTCATTACAGCTATTCATCAAAAATCTCATATTAAGAATTGGTATTGTTTTCCTTTCCTCTCCCCATCCCCTTTCCTTTTGTGCTATGGCTTTTTAAAATATACACCTGAGGGCAGGGCCTGCCTCCTTTGCAGTGATTTATAAGCTACACTAAGATATTTTCTGGCAGAAGGGTAGGATATAAATGCTTTAAATACATGAACACAATAAAATACATGAATTGCCTCCTATAACTATATATTTCACCAGGAGGCATGAGTACAATTGAGGCCACCCAAATAGGTTAGGGACAACTTTGACTAATTGGGCTATACTTACATTAATGCATCAAGCACAGGAAACTTTAGTTTCCTGAATCAGGTCATGGTCTATCCAGCTCATTCTGCCCAAATCAGGTATGCAGATCTGCCTGCTAGATGCTTCACACCACCATTTCCAGCATTCCTTATTATCAGCTATACTGACTGGGGCTGATGGGAGTTGAAGTCAGAGCATCTGAGCAGCACCAGGATGGGGAAGGCTGATTGAGTTAATTGCTGCTAACTAGGCTGGCAGGTACAGTCTCTCTAGGGTTTCAGGTGGATTTCTTTTTCTTGGCCCTGCCTAGAAATGCTGGGGATGCTGCGTGTCTTATTGAACACTTCTATTAGCAACTTTAGTTGCTGCTGCTGTTTTAGATGAAAGCATGCAACAAATAAAACCTGAAATCAGCTTGAATAATCAAGTAGCAAGCATAATAGCAGTACTTTTTTCCCTTTTAAATTAGGCACTACAAGGCCTCATAAGGAGGGGGAAGTCCCTGGTGTGGATTACATTTTCATCACTGTTGAAGATTTTATGGAACTAGAGAAAAGTGGTGCTCTTTTAGAAAGTGGGACATATGAAGGTAAGTGCCATCTTACTATAAAATTTGCTTTAACTCCCTTCCCCTCCATTTTCTAGAGTCACATTAGGGCATCCTTTTAGATTGCATCATGGTACGCATTATCTTAAATTTCTGAGGAGCCATAGAGCAATTATAGGAAGGTTGTGCTCCCCCCCCCCTTTGACAAAGCTCGGTATACATGGGTCCACTGTAATTGGGATGTTTCATCAGGCCTGTCCCAGGCAAGAGCGAATGACAAGTGATTGCTAGACGGTCGCCCACCTGCAAAGTTAAGCTGTCATGCCGCTGAACAGCTTCCCCGTTTCGTAATCGTTTGTGATGACTTTTTCCTCATTATACCCAATACCTGACTTGCTCATTCAGCACATTTCCAGGACAGAGGTTGTGCATGAAAATCCTGTATTGGCATAGACAGTTCCCACTGCCCCCCATTATCCATGCGTGCGCATCTGCGCACACACACACAGCACAGAGAGAGTTCCACTGTATTTTTCTACAGTGCTGCAGAGATCCTTGCAAACTGAAAGCTGAAGCAGCACTTTGAAAAGTTGGAGAGAAAACTTTATAATGTGGTGTAAGTTTTTGCAAAATTCTAAAAAGGAGGTGTGTAGTGGAGGGGAGGGATGGAATCTGGCATCTTAATGACCTGGTGCAAATAGACAGGGAATTTCAGTGATATGGAGATGTAAAAATATCTGCTTGAGAGTGAAAAGCTGGCAGTTTAATGATGCGTCTCCGGTTACTGTTGATTCACCTCGTCAACCTTGTTCAAGATCATAAAAAACATGGGCATGAAATAAATGTATGTTGCATTGTACCAGAGTAGGACTGGCTCCAAAACATGCAGGGAGTCATTGAGCATGATAAAAACTAGATGCTTGCGAAAAGTACATTAGTATATGGAAATCAGTATTTCAACCTAATTATAAAAAGGTTAATATTTTGATACAGACAGATGCTTTTTGACAAGCATGTTTGTACAATCTAGACTTGTTATGAAAATGTCTTTTTCCTGAATATTTTCTAATGAAGAAAACAATTTAAAGTTATATCTGACACCACGCTACCAAAACAAATGTATTACTGGAGTTATAAATAGCCAGAGTAGAATAAATCTTTCTTACCTAATCAGCACAGAGTGTCGACTTTAAGATAGGTACAGTTTCATGTCAATAAAAATGGTAGCACTGAATTTAATGCCATTTGCACTTCATTGCTATCTTGTATTTAAGGAACAAACTTGAATAAATGGTGCTATACATGCAGTACCACAGTATCAAGCCTGAGGCTTTTTCCGACTGGGTATCCCTTGAAGTTATGGATATATGAGCTATACATTAAAGCCATGCGCATTTTGCACAGCTGTAATATATTGCCCAACAGTATGGTTTCATTTTTCTTTCAAGGAATAGTGTAGGCTTCAGTGTGATTGTGCACTGCCTCTGGGGGTTTATGGAAGAATGTATATTTTTGACAGCTTTACCCTGGGACAAGGAAAAAGAAAGTCAGAGGTGGTGACAGCCTCTTGGGTGTTTGGGAGGCTTCTCCCCGCAACTGCAATTTATTTGTTTATTTAATTTCTATACCAGCCAATAGTTAAAGCTCTCTGGCTGGCTCACAACAGAAATTCTGGCTGGAACTAGTAGGACTACCGCAGCAAGAAAGTGATACTAAATGGCCATTCCACAAAGAAGCAGGGACCAGAAATGATCAGGTCTACTCCCCAGGAAGAAGAGGTACTCAATTAGGAATATTCATCTGTCAGTTGGGGTGGGGGGTTCCTGTTGCTGAATACTTACAAAGGTTCTGGAGAGGAGAGGAGAGGAGAGGAGAGGAGAGGAGAGGAGAGGAGATCCACCACAAAGTGGGGATAGCCTCCTCATATGTGTTGGGAGAGCTCTTAGAGATAATGGCAGGGCTCACACCGCATGGCAAAGAACCCCGCACTGTTTCCACAGCACATGAATTTGGGCCTGAACTTACTCATCAGACAGTGACGTAGTGATCCCAGCATCCCAGTTTCTACACTCCCCATTCCGTCCTCCCAGCCTGGCCATGCAACCCGACAGCCTGCACAAGCGCCATCGCCCACTTTTCCTGTTCTTGCCTATGGACCAACCACAGCAGCCTCCTCCTGACTGGTCCTCTGCAATCCTGAGAGGGGCTCCCCCTTTTCCCACCTATGTATATTTGCATGTCTGCAGTGATTCCCAGCCACTCCAGCCCCCACAGACATTTTTATCAAATGAATAAAATAGCCTGAATGTGCCACACAGATAATTGGGCACACTGGTGGGGGGGGTAGGGTGTCTCCTCCCTCTCCCACAGGTATCTCGGGGGAGGGGGGCGGGTACCGCAGGAGCAGTGAGGTTTCTCCTTCCCTGTCACTGCTTGGCAGTTTAATGAGCATCCCTTTTCCAGATAATATACTGATGGGTGAGGGAAGGGGGAAATAGAAGAGAAAGAAACCATCTCTCTTCCATGGACACACACAATTCCAAATAAAATAAAATAAAAGCACAGTGCAAGTGGAGGCCCTAGACAGTCCAGCTGGGCCACTGTGTTTGTACCTGTAGCCACAGGTAAATACCATTTTAAGAGCCAGTGTCCTAACCTTGCTTGCTCAGTAATCCAGAGGAACATGCTTTCATGTCATACAGATAACAGAAGGATGGCAGTTTTTTTAAAATCTGTTATTACTCTTTGCTTAGATAAGAGCTGATGAACCCAGTTGGTAAACTAAAGAACTTCTAAATCATTAGGCCACCATGCAGCACCGTTAAACTTTGAAGCGTCATTGGTCTCAGTGGAAGAATTAAATACATGCTTAATCTCTTTGATTCAATCAGTGGGAATTCAAAGTAGATAGCTTTGGTTGAGTTGTACCTATTATAATCCTCTGCATCTCTGGTACTTGGTAGCAGTCATGACGGTGCTCTTATGCATTCATTTTATCATTTGTACAGTATGTATTTATGTTCTGAACTGAAAATTAAATTAAAATATAATTATCCTTTCATCTGTTTTTCTTCCACCTCAAGAGAGAAAACTTGTCAATCTTGTTTGTATTATCAAACTGCAAAGCTGACTTTTTCCAATATCTTGGCATGAATTGCAATTTAAAGATTATTTGACAGATGGTTCCAAACCTGCCTGAGATGAATTTTACCTACTGTATAAATATTGACTGCTTTAATAATTGGCATTCTGTATCTCTAAATCTTAACAAGATATTTTTCTCTAACAAGGTTTGCGGCATGGAAAGAGCTTAATTCAATTACAACAGTATTGACTTATTACTAAAAGGACCTTGTAGTGTCAGCATTTCTTCAAGTGATTACTTAAACATGTACAGGGGTTGGGAAAAAAGGGTCACAATCCACCAGGAAACATTTCTGCAGGAGATTCACTCAGAGTGATAAGAGTTTCACAAAATTGTACTCAGGTTTTTATGGAGATTATTCAGGAAAGGTTCACAATAGTCCAGTTTGTTTGGCACAGACAGCACGACCCATGATGAGTTACAGTTCCCACCGTTGCCCCCATTTTGTGTTTCCAGCCCCACTTGGGTTGTTACATTCTGTGAACCTGGTGAGTACAGGTTATGTGAGGGCTAAACAGGCATGATCTGTTCTGCCAGGGGTTGGTTAATGCAACACGGTGCCTTCATGCACCCCAAATTCACCACAGCCTCTCCATGGGTTTTAAAGAGCCTTGGTGGGCCACTGTGCCATGCAAACCAGCCCGGCTGGTTATGCCCAAATACAGTAGATGTTTGAGCAGAAATATGAACTGGAACATTTTATCTGGAGTAAGGCATCCATCAGTATGTCCCAGCAAGGAAAAAGCCTCTGACATCGACCCTGACTTTAATTACAAATTGTGTAATTGGATTGAAATTGAGATAAAGTAATGTTAATTGTGCATTACATCTACAAATCTAACTACTTCCGGGCGTGTTTTGCTGGAAGAGAATAATATACCTAAGGATGCAATCCTAGGTCAGCTTAAACAGAACAAAAACTTACAAGATACAGCATGCCCTAGCCAGAATAACTGTCTTTAGCTACTGTTTCTTAATTGAACCAGGGAATTACTACATCTGTAAAACTGAGGTTCAGAAAGTATTGAATTAACTATTTTGTTGAAATACCTTTGAGTGAAACACTGTTCTTTAGGCATTAATTGTAGAACAAATATGGTATATTGGAGTTGAACTCATATCTTCTCCTCCTCAGAAGCTGATACAATAGAAAGAGTGTCTCCAATACTTCTGGTTGAATTATCCAAAATTTAATTATTCTATGCATGGCTGGAACATTTTTAATGGAAACTTTCTGTTCATTCCCAGCTCTGCTTCAAATTGCCAAAAAGATTTAAAGACGGGCATGTCTGATGGTTATAGGAGACTTAGTGCAGAGGTACTTTACAAGAGAAGTGAGCACAAAGCAAAACAAAACTCCCACCTCCTGATTAATGAGCACTAGTGAACCTTGCCCAGGTGAATCCCAACCACTGAGCTTGTGAGATTAATAACCTGGTTGCTAGTCGCTTTAAATCACCTCAAGGAGTGAGCAAAGTGTGATTGGACAGAGCCTTCTGTAGTTCTCTTCTGCAGTTGGGTTGGTGAGTGCAGTCCAGATGAACCCTTGAAGCTGGGATGCAGAATCTCCAGCCCTGGGGCCAGATCTAGTCCTCTTGGCATCATAGTCCAGGCCTCTGGGTTACCCTAAGCATTGGTCTAGTGGTGGTTTCCTGGCATTCGTGCAGGATTTTTTTTCCCATTCAGATAAGTTGAAATGCTTTAAACACTTAGTTACTGACAGTGAGAGCTTTAAGCTAAAACATACAGGTATATGTTAACTGGTCTCTTTGTCTTTAGCCCTAGTGCATTGCCTTTAGCCATTCCCTACCCTGGAATCTATCCCCCAAGAACTTCTGTGAAATGGAATTTGGTCCTTGGGCTGAAAGCAGTTTATGATACAGAATTTAGAATTCAC